TAATTAACTTTTTTTTTTTTTTTTTTTAATAACAAAATAGGGCCTTATGGTCCTAGCTCCTTCTATTCTGGGGAGCATCAGTCCGGTTCCTATTCCACCGGCAAGTCAAAATACATGTTACATCAATGAGAACTCACACACGCTTCCTTCCGTCAGGCCGAAGCACCCCTGAACAGCATTGATCACTCCACTGTAGTGGAGGATTGACTGTCAGCTTGCCCTGCACCTTTTCTTCCTTCTCAGACCTGATGTCCAGATCTGCCAGATAGCATCTTTGCCCCTAGGAAGAGTTCATCCTTTGTCCATGCCGACCTATTCCATTCATCGCCCATCTCCCTGTTCCTTGGTGTGAAAGATCAGATTTCCTTAAGCCCTAAACCCTCCACCAGTGCTCCTATCTTCTGAAATGTCGACCTTGGGCGCTGGCCGAATTCCGTTCATTTCCCGATCACTGTGACCGAACCTCCTCAGCAACCCCCATTCTTGTGCCTTTTCTAATCCTTCTCCGACTTTTCATCCCTTCTCACACTTCCCTTCTTTGTCTGTGCCCCTTGGATCTCTATCAATTGAATCAAAATCAACCAGATTAGGTCTTGGCAAATGATAGTAGGCTTTCGGATTTCTGAAATGGGATCCTCCTTGGTGACCCTTGAAGACGTTCTGGTGTTGCCAGGCTTGAGCTCTTTTTCCTCTTTGTCTGTACCCCCTGGGATATGTAGGATCTCTTGTGATCTGAGGGAAGTTTAGCCTTCCGGCGACGTTTGACGTTGGGTACCTCTTCCAGGACTTGAATTATGCCATTCTTTCCAGCATACCAGGTCCTGTCGCAGCTCTCCAATCTTGCCCTCCACTAGCCAGGTCCTGTAGAATCTCTGCCTTTCCTTGTTACGCTGTTCTTCGTCCTCGGACCAAGCTCGCTTGATCTTCTGCCATCTGCACAGGATCTAGGCCCATCTGTTTTTAGTACTTTTTACCCTGCTATTTTACCAGTAACAGTTTGTCGTCTTTTCTTTTTTCTCCCCCCCCCCCCTTAATCTGTGTCATTCTTGCCTGGGGCTATGCTCATCCTCGCCCCATTTGGTTCCGATTTTAAGCCACCAGCTAAGAAGATTCTCACGCCTGGGCAGTCCTGCCCAGCTGGGCACCCGGGCGTGAAAAAAAAAAAAAAAAAAAAAGATTTATTTTTATTTTTGGTTTTCTGCGCTCTCCCAGAGGACCCCAAATCCGGGCTCATTTCTTTTTTTGCGAGTTGGCTGTCAAGGGGGGGAAGGGGGGTATAAATTGGTTTTAAAGGGGCTAAAGGGGTTCAAAGGGGGGTGCCTTAGTGTGATTCTGTTATTTTCTTTTTTATCTCCAATTCTGTGGGGAATTCTAATGTGACCCTCAGCCAAAAGTCGTTTGTACTGCAATTCTACAAGACATATTGCTTTTCCGGATTTTTTTATTTTTATTTTTATTTATTTTTTGGTGCTGGGGCTGCCTGGAACCCTGCCAAGGGGTCATGCCCGGCTGGGCACCCGGGCTTGTACCCAGGCATAAGTTGGGTGCTCGGGCGCCTGGAAAAACAGCCTAGGCCACCAGCCCTTTTACAACCTCCGTGGTTATCAGGGGTGCATTGTGGGCACCCCAAACGAATTTGGCACTCGCTCTTTATTTTTTGCCCTTTTTTTTAGCTGGTCCATTGGATCCCTGCGAGGAAAATGAGCAATAGCGAACTTCAGAAACCAAACAGCATCATACATATGAGACCAGATAGTCGTGACCTCGAACCAAAAGCAGAATTGCATCACATAAGAGCGCAGCAAAAGCTCATAAGTGACAATGTTCGAATGGTCTCATCATCATCAACAAAGAACCAATGTCGACATCCTATCTGGCGAGACTACAAATGGCAGATCCTATCTAGCCTATCTACTATGCCGCTGATGACGTCAACAGCTCCCCGAAGTACAAGCAGATCTCGGCCAATGCTGTTCGCCTCAAGCACCAGGTATGTCTCTCGTATCACTCACAACCTCGATCCCCAACTCACAGATGCCACATGCACCCAAGAACCACCAAGCGCCCCATCCAGCATGCAGCAGCGCAGCTTGGCTATGGCTGCCTGCTCCTTCCAGCTCGCCCGTGAGCGCGTGAGCCTGGCCAGCATTAGCACAGCAGCGCTTGTGCAGCATGCAGCCAGTGCCCGAATGCTGAATGCGTGGGCAGGCACTTTCCTAAATGGAAGTGGCCTGCCTGTCTTACGTGCGGCCTGCCTGCATTGGGCCTGGGTCCAGAAGCTTCCGGTAGGCCCCGTGAGGCTGAGCCCCAGTCTGAACGATTCAGGCCCAGGGCCTGTGGTGGTTACCTGTGCCCAACTGCCCGCAGCATGTGTTCGGCCCATGTTGGGTATCTGGCCCAGGGCCTGCCTCAGTTACATACGAAAAAGGCAGCCTGGGCCTGGGCGCTGTCAACTAACTGGCACTGCTGCCTGAATTTCCCCAGTTGTGCGGTGACCCCAAAAATGGCCTCTAGGCCCTGGGTCGAGGCTGCCTTCACTTAGGGAGGCCAACCATACAGAAAATAGGGCCCACTAGGGCAGCTCGAGGCCTTGAGCCTCGCAATCCTCCCCCCCCCTCAATGATCTTATGTACTCTTTCTGTCTGCCTTGACGCTGCAAGGGTTTGGCCCAAATTTCCAGGACGTGGTGGTCGCTTAACGGATGTCCCGACTGAAGGAAGGAAAGTCAGTGACACCTTGGTCTATCTCACCAAATGGGGATTGCAGCATGCTCAAAAATTCAAATTGAAATTATTAAAAATTGAAAGCTATCAACAGGGCCTGGCACTCAGTGACCTTTATTCCGTAGTCCTTACTTTATCAAGGGGAAGCTAGAAAAGGAAGAAAGAAAGAAAAAATACAGGATGACTTTCTCGGAGCCTTTGAAGTTTCTCCTAATCTGCTGCATGTCCATTGAAAATGTGACTTCCAGTTTTGCAAACAGTGAGAACGAAGATAGCTAAGGGCCTCGCCGGACGGCAAACGAAACGAGGAAAAAAACTACGTCGTTTCGTTTCTGCATCGCTGCACAGTGCCGGCGTGACTTCTGTCAGTGAAAACTCGCGAATTCTGTCAGAAGCCGGGTTCGTGAGGCCGTGTGCGTTCATAACCGTTGCCTGCCTGCAAAACACGCGAAGTCATAGGGCCTCGACTGGAATGGTGGAGGAGGTATGAAATCTCGCGAATCCCCCACGTCGGTCCAAAGGGGAAACTTCAAAATTTTGGAACGGAGCGCGTGTCAGCCCTCGCGAGCGTGTATCCAACCACGCGATTCCTCACGGTTGGTTGGGCCCATGGCATGGGGCCTCGCTCCACACCCGAGATGCACAAAAGACAAAAATCATGGCGGTGTATCTTTCCATGTTCTACTGTAAGCTTCACTCTCGTTTTGCACATTTCGAGAGTAGTGGAGTGAGGCCCATTGAGCAGTCCAGCCACGCCGGCCCGAAGGTGTGCCGCCGCCGCATAGTGCGCACGAACCCACACGATTCTCGTCAGCCGAATGTCGTCAGGGAGCTTTCGTGTGCTATGCGGCGGCTGGCCAAAAAATGAAACGAAACGGGGACACAAGCCATCGCGAGGCCTCACGAGCTCTGCAATCGTTTCGTTTCGTTTTTTGGCCCGTCCGGCGAGCCCCTAAGAGAAAGCATCTTTTCGAAACGAGCAACCTTTTTTTCTTTTTTCCAGATAAGCAACTTGAATGTTGAAATTACCCAAGCTTGAATTTGCTGGTGTTCAGGGAGAGAAGGTTGTGAGGTAGGCGTTTGAATTTGCTGTTGTTCAGCGAGAGAAGGGCGTGAGGTAGGCAGCCTGAGGTGGGTAGCCTGAGGTAGGTGTATAGATAGGTAGTGGCAAATTGTGACGAAAGCATAATTTCGTTTTAGACAGTCCACAAGTCAATGGATGGTTGTATTGATGGATATGGAATCATGGATGAAGGGATGAAGGGATGAAGGGATGAAGGGATGAATCGATGGACGGATGGATGAATTAATGGATGGATGGATGGATAAAAAGTAAGGCATCGTGAAGGGGTATCTCGCCAGGACCCAGAAACGTGAAAGCAGGTCAAAGGTCAAGTTCTCTATCAAAGGGCACATTCTAAACTAAAGCAAAGGTCATTGCAGAAGGACATACCTGTTTGCCAGGAGATGCACATGTCATGTCTGTTCAGATAAGGGTGTGTCTGTACGTGCAGTCAGTGTGTCTGTTCGTGCAGAAAGGGAGTGTCTATTCACACAGTGTGAGTGTCTGTTCAGGCAGTAAGTGTGTCTGTTCGTCCCAAGTTGTACCTGTTCGAAAGTAAGTCAATCAACAGAGTCCCAGTTCTGGTCTTAGTCTAAGGGACAGTTCAGATCCAGACATCCAAGTCCAAATCTAGGCCGAGAGGCCTCAGCAGCAGTTAACTTCATTGGGACAGTACT